AAGACAGAAAGGTCAAGGAGGCGGGGATGAGGCTGGTAGGAAGGAGGTGGGGGTGGTGGTTGGTCAGTGAGGTGGGAGGAGTGGATAGTTGGGAGAAAGGACGGACAGGTCAAGGAGGCAGAGACCGGCTGTGTTGGTTTTGGGATGCGGTTGGGGGAGGGGAGATTTTGAAGCTTGTGAAGTCTACATTGATACCATTGGGCTGCAGGGTTCCCAAGTGAAATATGAGGCGCTGTTCCTGCAACCTTCGGATGGCATCGTTGTGACACTGGAGGAGGCCCAGGATGGACATATCATCCAAGGAGTGAAAGGGGGAGTTGAAATGGTTCGCGACTGGGAGGTGCAGTCGTTTGTCACGAACTGAGCGTAGGTGTTCCACAAAGCCGTCTCCAAGCCTCCGCTTGGTTTCCCTGATGTAGGGGAGGCCACATCGGGAACAGCAGATACAATATGATACAAAGCAGATACAGAACAGCAGATACAAAGTTTGCAGGAACAGCACCTCATATTCGGCTTGGGAAACCTGCAGCCCAATGGTCTCAATGTGGACTTCACAAGCTTCAAAATCTCCCCACCCCCGACCGCATCCCAAAACCAGCCCAGCTCATCCCTGCCTCCTTGACATGACCATCCTTTCTCCCACCTATCCATTCCTCCCACCTCACTGACCAATCCCCACCCCCACCTATTACCTACCAGCCTCATCCCCGCCTCCTTGACCTGTCCGTCTTCCCTTGGCTGACCAGCCCCCATTCTAGCTCCTCACCTACACTCACCTTTACTGGCTCCATCCCCGCCTCCTTGACCTGTCTGTCTCCTCTCCACCTATCTGCTCCGTTATATCCATCTTCCATCCGCCTCCCCCTCTCTCTATTTATTTCAGAGCCCCCTTCCCCTCCCCCATTTCTGAAGAAGGGTCCAGGCCCGAAACATCAGCCTTCCTGCTCCTCTGATGCTGCTTGGCCTGCTGTGTTCATCCAGCTCTATACCTCGTTATCTCAGATTCTCCAGCATCAGCAGTTCCTACTATCTCTGGATAGGTACATGGATGGAAAGGGTTTAGAGGGATATGGACCTTATGTTCCAAGGAGAACAATTCCAGCTAATCCAATCCATCACGTTTGTGATAAAATAAGGACAATCAATTCTCAACTTCCGTCATCCAATTTTAATACCTGGGACATTCACAAACTGAAATAGTTTCACGAAAGAACACTGATGTGAAAATAGATGCAGTTATCACCTGACAGTGGTCAGAGCCAAGCTTCATGAAACACTCCATAAATAACAATCAGTCTAAATTGAACTTAACCCTTTTTATCAAAAGAGACTGAAACCAGTCAGGCATGAAGAAAATTATATCTTCTGTTTAATTTGCATGTTTATGCAAAGTTAATCTATTGGAGATGAAAAACATCAAATACAATTATCCAGCTTGGGAACAATAAATCCAGACAAGGGAATACACAAATCAGCTATATTTCAGACCACTCCAAGACCCTTGAGTTGTACTATCGATGTTGTTTGAGATGGATTCTCCACATTAGCTGGGAGGCTGAGCGTACTAACATTTGTGTCCTTGAAGCAGCTAACAGTGCCAGCATCAAGGCCACAATCATTCAAAACCAACACCACTGGGCCGGCCACATGCTTAAGGTGCTGAGTTCCGACTACCAAAGCAAATCTTCTTCACCAGCTCAATGAAGGCACTTGAACGAGAGGAGGACAAAGGAAGTGTTTCAAACACTCCCTGAAGGCTTCCCTCTAGAAATGCAACATTGATGCCAATGCACGGGAGACCTTCGTTCAGAAGAAATTGATTTGGAGGGAACTCCTGTATGAAGGGACACAATTCTTTGAAAACACACATATGTGAAGGGAATTATGGAAAAGGAGTTGGAGAAAATGATCTCAAGGACAATGCCCAATTCCACCTGTCAAATGTGTGGTTGGAGATGTGCCTCTGGGATCAGGCTCATCAGCCACACAAGACCCACAGACCCCATGACCAGTGACACAGAATTTCCTTGGTTGCCCATTATGCTTGTTAGTGAGTGAATACTGACAACAATAATATTTCAGGCAACTACTTTGACCTAGTGGAGGAGATGGATTTGTGACTGGAACTGGAGAAGCCTCTCTCTCTCTCTCTCTCTCTAACACAAAACCCAGTGACAAAGTAAATTGGAGACACAACTGATCACCAAGAACTTTAAAATATATGTATAATATTCCTGGCTGTCATTGCTTCAGAATATTGCAAACTAACCATGGTATCAGGTTAAAACCTGACATGTCAGGAACATCTGAAGGACTTACAACTTCATATTCTTCCATGTTCCTTTTTGTACTATGTGCAGCCCTGTGTTCGGGTGTGTGTGTGTGTGTGTGTGTGTGTGTGTGTGTGTGTGTGA